ATTATTTATTAATTTTTTTGTACTATACTAAAAAATATATTGTTTTTAAATGTTTCAAATATTAAAATAGAGCAAAAATAAAGAAAAAAAAATCGTTTTTTTGCCTAATTGTTCTCAAGACCTGCTAGTTATACCTACAAATGTATAGAAGACCTGAAAAAAAAACTTTTTATTGTTATTATCAAGTTTTTTATTTATGCATCCGATGAATATATGAAAAAGAAATTTTAACGAAAATTGTGCTCTAAAATGGCATTTTCTGGTTGCTGATGACAAAATTTTACGACGAGAGAGTCAATTAGTAAAAAACCAGCATGTTAAGTGGCAAAACACGAGCTAAAAAAGCTCTTTGAATAGAAACCAAGAGTCAATCAATGTCAGTGTCAGCAAGAAACTTTCAAGAAAAAAGTGAAGCACCATCGAGAAACAATCTCACATAAAAATAAGTAGTCTTGTAAAAAGTCATTCAAGTGCCACTAAATTGAGATATCATTGAAAAAATTTCATTCGATCCAGTTATTGTGCCGCCTTGAGGGTCACAGTCACACAGTTTAAAGTGTGCGAAACTTATCTCCTGCCCGCATCAAGTAATGAAGTCACTGAGAATGTGAAACTCTCATTCTCACACATTCTCCAAGTGTATGTAAACCCGCCTCATTACGTAATCTTTTTGTTGATAGTTTTGCGGCCCGCCCACCAGCGAAAGCCAAAGTGCGTAAAAAAGAAAGTCTATTGTGACTTGTGAGGTCTAAGCCGAAGGGTTTATGGAAAGTGCCGATTTTGGGAATGAAGAAGTGCAGATGGACGTATGAAATATGACTTGGGCAAAGAAAGTCGTCTTTCCTTTCACTTGCAATAACCCTTTGACCGGCCACTTTCACATAGTTATGCCATCTGTGTTGAAGAGATCCAGTAAAGCACAGTTAGATGATTTCTTGTGAAATCAAACTTGGTTATGCGTCATTATTTTCAGAGGTAGTGCTTGGTAATGAGCCAGGAGGACTCTTGATAGACCTTGACCACGAGTTCACGCTTTCATTAGAAGACATTTGATTCGCACTCGAAATTTATGTACATTGCAAAATTTTTGATTTAGGCACTTTTACCCATCTCGTGAATTAAGCGAGTTTCTATTTGTTTTGTAAACTTATACCTTACCTTACCTACCATAATTGAATTTTCTTTTTTATTGCTAATTGTATGATAAACAAAATATACAATTAGACGATTAGAATTTATTCACATTGGGGCTATTTAAAACAAAAACAAATTTTGGTATTGTATTTTAGTTTACCACAAATGAAGAACTTATAAAGTAATTAACAATTAATTAATTCTTATCACTAATTGCTAAGTGTTCAGTTATCACGTCTCGCAAATAAGACTCTCCAATTAACTGTTTTGTTGGATTATATCTATATTACACAGGTGATAAAAAAATTGCCACGAGCTCTAACAGGTTTGTTATAATTATTTTTTACAAAAAAAACATGTAGCACTTTTTTTAAACTTATCAGAAGAGAGATTTTTTTCTAGCTAAATGGTAAGTGTCATATTTAAAAAAAGCTCTAATAATAGTAATAAATAATAGTAATACTTTATTACTTTATTTTTTTTAATATTTACAAAACAAGAAACAAATTTTGTATTGTTTTTACGATGTATGAAAACAATATGTACAAAGTTTTAATTTGTCAGATTATTTATATTCTGAATTATACAATTGAACAATTGAAAATTCAAAATCTCAGATTTACATACAAAATCATTTTTCATTTTTTAAAGCTTTTGAAATATTTTGCTAAAATAGAATATTTTTTGAACATCTGTAGTTCTTAAAATTCTAATTAATAAATTCAACCAAAAACTCGATTATTTTAAGATTATGCCAAAAATAGAGTAGAAAGTTTATCTAAATTCTCATAAATTTTGATTTTTTTTTATTTTTAAATTTTTTTCTAAATTTGGATTTCTCCTAAACACTTATTGTAGCTTTAAAATTTGCTAATTAATTTCAATGTAAGCATTTACTTCTAATACTAATTAACAAATTAAGATTAAACTCGATTATTTCCAGATTATGCAAAAAAACAGTTCAGAAAGTTTGTCTAATTCTCCAAAAATTTTAAAATTTTTGCTAAAATAAGATATTTTTAAATATCTGTAGCTCTTAAATTTTTTTAATTATTTTCACTGTAGAACTCTTAGCTCTACTTCTAATTAATAAATTGAACTAATACATACGAATGGTTCGATTGTATGAAGATTAAGCCAAAAAAACATTCCAAAAAGTCGGTGTCCAAATTCTCCAAAAAATTTGTAATTTTCTCTAAATTAGAATATTTTTTAAACATCTGTAGTTTTAAAAATTTGTTAATTACTTTTACTGTAAGTTATTTTAACTGTAATTCTAATTAATAAACAAGTAAAAAAAGTCGATTACGCGTATTTCAAAAAATAGTCCAGTAAATTTGTCTGAATTATTTTAAATTTTTAAAAATTTTTCTAGATTTGTATTTTTCC